CAAAAGCCCCTACATTTCTGCCAGCACCTGGTCCAGCTCATGAGGTCCTCTCCCAGGGCAGGGCAGGTCCCCTCCTTATGGGAGGAGGCACTGAGAGAGCTCTTCTTGCATATAAAGTCCCCTGGGAACTTGTGTCCACATCTGCATTTCTACCCGCTCATCTACATCTGCTGCCCTGTGCCAAATATTCTGTATGTGTCTGCAAGATCTAAATATTCATCGTGATGCTTATGAATCAAAGTCCTGAATCCTGTCCTGCCATCTAGTACGGCAGACAGTGATGCAAAAACCAACCAACCAACAAACAGACCTGGGTAATGGCCCCTCTGATTTCATCTCTATCCTCTGGCAACTCTATTAGGTAACTTTAAAAAACCAACTTCGTCAGATATAATTTTCTTGCAATAAAATGCACACATTGAAAATTTACAACTTGATAAGTTTTAACACATGTATTTTGCCATATATAAGCGTCACTGTCATTGAGGTAACAGGTTATTTCCATCATGCCAAAACGTGCCCTTTGCAGCCAATCTCTGCCCCAGGAAACCACAGCTCTGCTTTCCATTACTCTAGATTAGTCTCGCCTTTTCTAGAATTCCATATAAATGGAATTATACATTATCGTGCTTTTATATCTACTCAGTCTAATTTTTGAAGTTCATTCATTTTTGTCGTGCAGGTTAGTAGTTCATTCCTTTTTATACTGAATAGTATTCCAGATCATTTTTTAAATGTAAGAACAACTTTTTCACCTCTGGATTAAGAGTTAGACAGGAGATAGCAAGGTTAAATGTGTAAAGAAGCCAGGCAAGTACTGTAAATGAGAGACAGGGGCTGGTGTAAGAAAATTTATTCTCAAAACACTAGACCTTCTTGTTACAGCTTTGTTTTCCAAAAAAAATATTTTTCTTCAACTTTAAGGAAAATATAAGATTAAGTATGATAATAAATGGCAAGTGTCACTTAGCTTTGATTTTTGGAGGCACAGCAAGGAATGAAGGGGATAGTGGCAATTGCAATGATCAAAGCCCGTATCCTAAGAGAAGCAACTTTGCTACGTGGAAATGGGGGACCAGGTTTTAAACCTTCTCATTGTCCTGGAGAAGCAGGAAACCTGGGTTTGTGTGTGAAATCTCCTGATTTTAAATGTTGGAAATAAATTTAAATTTTACTGAAACACCGGACAGGTCCCCCCAAAAACCTAGGGGCCAGAGGAGGACTGGGAAGCACTGTGTTGTGTCCTCTGATGCGGACCGACTAAAAGCTAGCCCAAGCCGCCCACCCCACTGCGCTTTCTGTAGAACCATCCGGGTCCTGTAAGGAACTCCTGGTCTAGAGGAAGCCCCAGGGTTGACTTACCTCATTGGCTGCACGGAAGAGAAAGTTAAAAAGAGAAGCAAAAGTCGTTCTAAGGTCCCAAGAAGAAGAGAGGATGTGAATATTTGCTGCAAGCCAGCTACTATGATCTTTCATTTCTCCCACACTGCTGCAGTGTGGAGCATATACATTGGAATTATCTGGGGTGGAGATTCCCAGATCCCCTCCCAATTTACTTAATTAGGATCTCTAGCTTCTGGGGCTGCTGTGGATTTCCATTTTAACAGGCCCCTCGGGTAATTCTTATCCACATGGAAGTCTGACGTCCACTGCATTGGATTTTCCTGCCTTTACTACAAACAATTCAGTTGCCATTAAAGAGTCCATTTTGTTCCACATCTAATTTTGAGGTCTCTCTTGTGGGAAGAACAGTGATGGGGACAAAGGGAAGGCCTTGCGCGCCCCCTAGGGGTTAGTTTGGACAGTGAAAAGCTTTATAATGATCAGTGATTTTGCAGAGGTGTTAGGAATGAAAATAACAGGTAGAATTCGTGAGCCTTCCACTGGCATCAGGCGTTCTGATTGGCCATTCACCTAAATGATCTTATTTAAGCCTGTGAGGCAGGCGCTATTATTACCTGCATTTTACAGAGGAGGAAATTCAACTGTAAATTCTGGGGCATGGTTGATCATGCCTTCTTTCTCAGTATCATTTCTTCACTTGGCTTTCGAGACACCATATGCTTTCCCGTTTGCCTCCTGTACCACTGGTTATTCCTCCTCGATCTTCATTTTCATCCCCCGCTCTTCCCCAAGATCTATTCATTTTGGAGCCCCCCAGGGATCAGTCTTTGCTTTTCTTCTTTCCCTGAACTTTCTTAACAACAGTGACTCCCAAGTTTCTATCTTGTAAGCAACCTCCATCTTGAATTTTAGACTCATGTGCCCTTGGATGCCTCACAGACATCTCATCTCAAACTTAACATGCCTAAATATGACGTTCTCATCCTCTCTTACAAACCGACCCCATTTAGAGGTTTTTCCCATTTCAGGAGATGAGACGCCATCCTTTCAATGGCTCGTGCCAAAAACCTTGGTCTCACCTGACTCCTCTCTCTGACACCACTTCCCTCCTTCCCCATGGCTGCCACCCTAGTTTCAGGCACCACCATCTCTCACCTGGGTTACTGCTACAACCTCCTAGTTGGTCTTCTTGTTCCCAAACGTGCCATTCAAGAGACTAGTCCCAACAAAGAAACCAGAGCGGTCTTTCTAAAATGTAACTCAGATTGTGTCACTCCTCTGCCCAAACTCCTTCCAGGGCTTCCCATTTCACTCAGACTAAGGGCCGCAGTCCTTAAAGTGGCCAGTGAGGCCCTCTACCCAGCAGGGTTGCCTCTGGGTCTACCTCTGACCTCGTCTCCTGTTGGACTCCCCCCTCATTACTACACGCCAGCCACACTGGTCTCCATGCTGTTCCTTGCAGGTCCCTGGCTTGTTTCTGCCCTAAGACTTTTGCCCTGGCTCTTCCATCTGCCTGAAATATTCTCCCACCAGAAATCCACCTACCTAACTAGTTTACCCGCAAATCTTTATTCAAGTGTCACCCTCTCAAGGAGACCAACCTTGTCTCCTCTATTAAAAACTTCAAACCGTCCCTCCTCCTGTATGCCCAAACCTGCTATCATGCTCTACGTTTCCCTAGCATTTGATGACCCTCCAACACAATGTACAATTTTTAACTATTTATTATGTTTTTAGTTATTGTTTTCTCCCCTCACTAGAATGTAAGCTCCAAGAAGCCTGGAGTTTTCAGTCCCTGAAATAGATTAGAAATATCTGTTGAATGAATAAGACATGGAACGATTACATACCTAGTCCTAAGTATTTGAATAACCCATTTGAGAAATAAACCTGAATAATAAACAATTGTTTTCTCCTTATAGACAAGCAGAATATAGCTTCATGTCGTCTGTCTGGGCAGCTTCTATGGGGCTGAACGCCGAGTACCAGAACCTACAGCTCCCCTTAAAGAAGTAACATACAGCAACGTGCTGCGTGTATCAACAAACTCTTCTGCAGTAAGGTCGAGTTCCCACCAGTTATGTCACCCACAGAGCTGGACATTGTCTTTGTTACCCAATTTACATGATGAATATAATGGTGAGTTACAAGTAGTATTTTCCCTTACGTTGAAAAGAAATATACATATCTGGAGGAAGCTCTAATTTGAAAAGATACATGCACCCCAATGTTCACAGTAGCACTATTTGTAATAGCCAAGACATGGAAATGACAGATGGTTGCATAAAGAAGAGGGGGGTGTATAATGGAATACTACTCAGCCATAAAAGAGAATTAAATAATGCCATTCGCAGCAACATGGATGGACCTGGAGATTGTCATTCTAACTGAAGTAAGCCAGAAAGAGAAAGAAAAATACCATGTGATATCTCTTACACATGGGATCTGAAAAAAAAGACACAAATGAACTTATTTACAAAAGAGAAACAGACTCACAGACATAGAAAACAAACTTATGGTTAGCAGAGGGGAAAGGAGGTGGGAAGGGATAAATTTGGACTTCAAGATTTGCAGATTCTAACTACTGTATATAAAATAAACAAGTTTCTACTGTATAGCACAGGGGACTATATTCAATATCTTGTAGTAACCTATAGTGAAAAAAAATGAAAATGAATATATGTATGCATATGTATGATTGAAACATTATGTTGTACACCAGAAATTGACACAACATTGTAAGCTGACTATACTTCAATAATAAAAATGCTCAAAAAAAGAGAAAAGCAATATACCGTCTGTATATGGTGTACACCATACAGTGGTGTATGTTTTCTATATACTATATGGTGTTTAAAGATAAGTTCCCAGAAGTTGTAACTCACAAAAAGAAGCAATGTCAAATTCTGTGAAAAGTATTTTCTATAATCAGGTCACTGAGTAAGGGTGACTTGCCATCAGAACTACCTTGATAAAGGATGCAGCAAATGGCTCTGCTTGGGGCTTTCTGAATTACCCACAACTGTCCTCACAGAGAAGCAAGTAACAGTTTCCTGTAGTAAGAACTTCAGGGTGCCCACAGCTGTGACTCACCAGGGTGAGTAGCACAGGGCTCTGGCCATGTGTTCTTCATGTCCTCTACTTAGCTGCTCAGACCCACACTGACTGATTGCGGAACCCCAACTGCAGACTGCCCTCCACGATTCAGCCTTCTGGAAGAAATCCAGACGCTGCTCCCCCGGCTCTTTGTCACCAACCCCAAATCCTTCCCTGGACGTCTTCCCTAGACGTCCCAGCATGACAACCACACGGCTGCTCCCGACCTGATGCACTTAGAAAAGGTGAAAGATGAAAGACCAGGCTGTGTGGAGCTTGATGAATGAACACTTTGAAACTTTTGCTTCCACAATTCGCTTTTTTTCCCACTGAAAAGCCAGGGACTTCCAAGACTCAGTGCCAGAAAAGAAAGGGAGGGGCTAAAAAAAAACTGCACCTCCTGAAACATTTATCAAATTTACTCATTCAAATGCCCAGCAGTCTGACCAAACACACACAACTACTTATAGTTCTATCTCTCAAAATAGGACAGTTTGCTTCAAAGACGAGAGTCAGCTAAGCAGAACATGTGATGATGAAAGAAAAGAGTCTAGTCTATGTCAATGATTACTGTGTCAATGCTGTATTTTTTGGTTGCAAAAGTCATTATCAGCTCAAAGGTATATATAAACAAAATAATAAATTTCAATCGCTGGACCATCTTTAACTGTGGCAATCATTCACCCATAAAGGAACCAAAATTTGGCATGTTCCGTGGGAGCCAGTATCTCCTCCTCCACAGTGGATACCTGGTGGTAACATGTGACAAGGTGGCTTTGTAGCAAATGCACTTGAACTTGTTGAAATACTTGCTTCCTATAACATGCAGGCCACTACACTCCGTAAGTTTTCCTCTCACTTTCCTGGCCACTTTTCACTCTCATTTCTGGTCCTTCTCATCACCCTGGCTTCTACTCATTGGCCTGATTGTCACAGATTCAGTCCTTGAAACTCTTCTCCACATTCTTTCCAGCAATGACCTCAGCCAGTCCTCTTGAAACTATCTATACATCTTTTATTTCTAGCCCAGAACTCTCCTCTGAATTCCAGACTCTTCTAAAAGAAAGTCTTACCTGACATCTCCATTTGGGTACCTAGTAAGCATATCAAATTTACAATTCCCTAAACTAAACTCCTGATATCTGCCCCACCTCCACCAGCCACCATGTTTAAAATAACAACCACTACTCCCTGTGCTCTTTTCCCCCTTTCTCCCCATTATTTTTCTCCACCATGCCCACCACCATCTGGCAAAGGCCATACGTTGCTTGTTTATTTGTGTAATGGTCACTGCGCCTCTCAAGAATGCACATTCTATGAGGCAGGGATCTGTATCTGTTTTCCTTATTGATATATTGCCAGAGCCTGGCACGGTGCTGGCTGTATGGTAGAGGCTCCATAAATATTTGTTGAGTAAGTGAATATTTAAATAATGATGGTCAAAGCACTCCTCTGGGGAGATGATACATTTATGCCAGCGATGCTACCATTGCTCAAAATATCTTTATGGCAATAGTGAAGTAGGACCACCAGTTAGGAGGCTATTTTCAATAATCCTGGAGAAAGATGATGATGGTGTCAGTTCGAACAGGTGGTAGCAGAGGAGATACTGAGAAGTGATCGGCTTCTGTATATAATTTGAATAGAGATCCAATGGGTTGAGGTCAATGTTCACATCACATATGGAACCAGTCTCAGTATTTATGAGAGATCACTCCATTAAAAAAAGTAAAAATACAGTTGCTCTGCTAAATCACACACATTATTCACTAGTCCCAGAATCATATGACAGTTGGCTATTGCAGAAACCAAATTTCTACTTGAAAATGAAACAGAACCACTGAAGACGTTGAGAGTCTCCGAATGCAATTCCCTGTACAATGAAAGAATAACTGATTTGTATGAGCACGTTTTTATATTTGTGTGATTTGATCATCACAGCAATCCTCTGAGGTCTTTGTTATTATTAACCTCATTTTTCAGATGAAAGAAAGAAGGCTCAGAGAGGTAAGCCAGTTTCCTCAAGAGCTCCCAGCTGCAGAGTGAGAGGATGGAGCCAGGCCGGTTCACATGTGTTCTTGATGAATAAGAGCAAAGTATTAGGAGCAAAGGTACACGTTGCCTAGAAGAGGACACTCATTTGGAGCATTTCAGTATGTCTTGTCTAATCTTTCTCTTTCGACTTCACACTCATGTCTCATCAGGACAACTCTGGAGGCTGGGAGCCCTGCAGCAAACACAAGACGTAGCCGGGGCACCAGGGCCAGGTGTGTTTTCCCGCTGCTCAGGCTGGGAACGAGCCTCCTTTCAATGGCCAAGGCCCTAGGTCAGGTGGTGCGGTTCCTCCAGACGCTGTTTCCAGTGTCCCTGGGAGAAAACGTAGCTATTGCCATGGGGATCCGATGCTTTCCAGGGCTATGTGGCCAGCATTGTCTCGAGACAAGGAACTATTGTTCGGGTAGAAATAGAGCATGTTTCTCGCTGGGGATTTGGGCTTGAATAAGGATTCACATTTCAACAATGCCTCCTTTTGTAAAAATGGCTGATTCCCGCCCCCCTCCCACCCCTCCAGGCTTATGTGTTTTCTTTTCAGACTCAGATTATGGCTTCTAACAACTGTTTCTCCTACAGTGTTTCTTAAGAATGTTAGGTATGTGTTCCTGGGTGTCAGGCACTCACGGAATAAACATGCCATTGCATATTAACATGAAGGCTTCGTGCTGTTCTGAGCAGACTCTGGGATGGCTATGGCAGAAAGGCCAGGGGCAGGAAGGGATGTATTTCCGGGTGGCAGTTGGCAGTTGGCAGTCATGGAAAGCAACATCTACTGTGACTGACGCTTTAGATACGTTATTCCAATTAATCCCCACAATCACCTGAGCAGATATTATGCAAGTTTTTACAAGCAGGGGAACATAATTAGGTAACTGGAGCAAAATTACACAGCTGGGACCAGTTCCCAGATTTCACTCCAAATCTGTTCTCTGTCCACTTCCTGTTCCCTTCTCCCTTGCTGACCTTGGCAAATTTCATTTTTTTCTCAGACAAGCCACCAGGTGGGAAGAGTGCATGAAATGGTGCTTGTGAACGCTTCTGCCACAGGGCATGTCACATAATAGGTACTCAATAAAAATCACATTTTCTCCTCCCTGTCTCCTTTCTGCATCGTCTCACCTTACCTTTCAAATTTCTCTTTTTCTTCTTCTTCTCCCTCCTGTTTTTTCAGCTCTCACTTTCTTTTCACACTCATTTGCTTTTCTCTGTAGAAAAAGAAAACTGAAAGAGCCCATTCCCAGCAACAACAAAAGCTTAAAAAAAATCACCTGGAATAAACCAACAAGAACTGCGAAGTCCACATGAAGAAAACGGTAACATTTTATTGAAGATACAAAAGAAGACCTGACTAGATGGAAAACTACACGGTTCTGGATGAAAGAGTTGATATTTCAAAGACGTCAATTTTGCAAATTACTCCATAAATTCAATGTAATCCCAGTACAAATCCTAACAGATTTGTTGAACTTGATAAGCTGATTTTACAGTTCCTGTGGAAGAGTAAACGCACAAAAACAAGCAAAAAAATTAAAGAAAAAAAATGAGGAAGAAACTGACTTTTCAGTTTTCAGAATATACCAAGTTTATGTAAATTAAAGAATGCTGTATTGATTCAGAATAAAGTAATGGGCAAATGGAACCAGAAAGAACAATTCAGGAACAAAGGGACATTTAGAATATAAAAAGGGAGCATTTCAAATCATAGCAAAAAGGAAAGACTTGAAAAATTGTATTGAGAGGGTTGGAAATCCTGAAAAGATTCATTTAGTTTCTAATATCACATCATACACACAAAATCCAAATGGATTAAACTCTAAACACTAACTGAAAAAAAAATCAGAAAGGAATTAGATTAAAATATAGTACATCAGTTTTTGTAATTTTAGGGGATGGTGAAGGCCTTCTCAGAAAGACACAAATTCCAGGCGCCATTAATGAAAAGATCTTATTTCAAAATATTAAAAGTTCTTTATGAAATAAGACACCAAAATAAAAGGCTCCAGTGAAAAGTCTTTGTAAAATATGTAAAACAAAGTATAATATATAAAATTTATTAAAAGCTCCCCAAATTATTAAGACATAAAATGTAAAACTGGAAAAAAGAAATGAAGAGATAATTCATTGAAAAATTAAAATATTAATAAAATATAGAAGATACCCAATCTCAAAAATAATAAAGGAAATGCAAAATAAACAAGATATACTTTATAACCCATCAGGCTGTTAACAATTCAATAGACTGACACCAGTATTATCAGGTGGAAATGGGCAATTTCATACACAGTTTGTAAGAGTGTAAATTGGTATAATCTTTTCTGATGACAACTTAGAACTACCTATCAAAATTTAAGATAAGCATATTCTTGGAGTTCGTAATTCCATTTCTAAGAATCGATTCTTCTGAAATATTCACAGATGTTCACAAAATAAAACACGGATAGTCACTGCAGCTTTATTTATAATAAAGAAAAATTGGAAAAAGACAGAAATTTCCCTCAATTAGAGAATGGTTAAATGAAATGTGGTTCATTTATACTGTGGAATACTATATGATGATTGAAAAAATGAGGCAGATTTTCATTTACTACTTAGCAGAGCTCCAAGACATATGGTCAAGTGAAAAAAAGCAGGATATCGTGTGCTGTGAGCGAGGGTTTGGTTTTTCACTTTTTTTCATATTATTTGTATTATCTGTAGTAAGCACATTTTGCTTATGTAAATAAGAACAAAAGGAATCTTACTTAACCTTACTTAATTTGATCCAAGTAACCACAGCAGTACTCCTCTTGTTCTCATGTATTCACTACGTTTCCTGGGCTACACTCTCCCAGGTCAGGGGTGGGTGGGTAACACTAGGGGCAAGAGGCTGGAGGCCCAAGAGAACAAAGCTGAGGCAATGCTGAACTTGAACTAGCACAAGAGAGGAACGCTTCTCCTCAACTCCCAGCAAAGGATGCAGCTATCAGCAAGAATCACTTACTTAATTCCCTCTTTTGGTCTGGGCTTCAGTGGAAGTCCTTCCAGCAATGGAATCGTGGTACCTGCCACCCAGCAGTGTGGCATCCACCTTCTGTTTCTTGGTAAACTCCCTTTGTCGCAGAGGTAAAACAGCACTGAGTATCTCTTGCCTCCTTCCCTTCTCCAAAACCTTCACCCTTGTTTAGCTGAAACTTTAAGAAAAAAAGGAAAACTTAAAAAAAATGTTTGTAATATAAACATACACTCATGAAGAGTATATTTTCGACTTTGCATCAAACGTTTTTTTTTTTTTTTCTGGAAAAATTCCTTTAGAAAATTCAAAAGAAAACTACCATCGTTTATCACAAAATCATTATTCTCCTACAATACTTCTTTGCCTATGTATTTTTTCTAGTTATTTTATACTCTTGGAACCATTTTCAAAATATTTATCTTCCATTAGGTTTTTCATCTTCTAATTATGTTGCACTGTTTTCAGATTTTTTTCAGATGAGTATATTGGTTAGCCTAAGGTTCACATGACCGCAAGCAAGAACTAAAATTTTAAGTGATCCGAAAAATATGAAAGCAGGATGGATAATTTTGCACATACTGAAGAATACCAGAGTACTTGAGCATTTCTAGTAAAATGAACTCTGGTCTGAAAATCAAGAGACCTCAGCTCTGCAAATCAATACCAGCCGTTACATACAACCTTGGACAAGGGTGTGTCCTCTTGGATATTTTACAGATAGATGAGTTTCTTTACCTGTAAAGTGGACTGGGTAACAGAATTGTAAAACTCCCTTCCACTGATGAGATTCAAAGATTTCCACTGATGCTTGGGCATGTAGCACAATTAGAAACAACAGTAGCAACAACATTAATAGGTACCATTCCAGGTGTGCTTACCGAGTGCGGAGAAACAGGCTATGTGCTTCATATATATATATCATCTTGTTTGTTCTTATCACTGCCATTTGAGGTTGAAATTATTTCCTCCATCTGTAGGTGAAGAAACAGAGACACGCGTCATTTTAAGGCTCTCCCTGCATTACACCATTACTGCTGCTGGGTGCAGAGAGGGAGGAGAGGAGGTTGGCGAGATGAGACCTTCAAAAATCCCTTGTTTCAGAAAGTGACTATGGCTCAAAGCTTCTTCCATTCCCTAGACTGTTCAGTTGTGGATGGGGCAATGAATTTCCATACTAGGCTGGAAATTTATAGCTGTGAGGGCATCCAGAAATTTTCCACTAAGATGAGAAATGATGTGTGTGGCCGAAGACAGATGAATCTCCCAGTTGAGCTTACAAAAGACACTTCCAGGCCAGGTTCCTTGGCTGGCCGGATGCCTGAGATTCACTTATTGTGTGATTAAGTGACGGTCTTATGTTTCCAGAGCTAATGATTCAAAAGCTTTCTGTGATGTTAAGCTGAGACACGTGGAAAAACAAAAGGCAATTAGAAGCAATCAAAGCATTCAGAAATTAAGATTCAATTTCTGCATTTGCTAAACTCTTCATCAAGGAAATCAGTAAAAAATTTTTAAAGCCCTGAATATCATACACAGAGAATTAAAACAGCAATCAGTTTTAAAATGTACACATGCTTCCCAGAATGCTTAGAACATTTAGGTCTGAGCCATTTTTCACTTGACTTATTATGTTGCATTTTTTCAGACATGAACACTCTCTTGAGTGATATTTATCTTTCAGTTTTGACAGCTGAATGAATGGACATGTAACTCCATGAATGCCAAAAACACCCTTATAAGCATCACAGAATAAAAGCCACACCGAGCTATTTATACTCTTTTAGTTACATTTTGTTTAAAAATATAGGCACCGGTGGCTGTGGCAGTGGGTAGTGACAGTGGAGGCAGGGAGGGGAGAGGAGAGAAGCAAGGTAGAGTTGGGTGAAGCCCCCTCGCCTGCCTTCAGACAGGCCGGAGGGAACTGCTGTGGACTAAGGGGAGTGGAGGCACCAGGCAGAGCTGTCTGCTCCCCCACCATCCTGCTGTCCCATCTCTCTCACCTTGGCCTCGAGATACTTTGAGCCTAAGTTACTCTCCCAGTAACTCAGGCCTTGGCTTCCTGGGAGTGATTGTCACCTCTTGGACCTGGACTTCCAAAAGACTGGTGTTACCTGTTTCCTAGAGCTGCTGTAACTAAGTACTCAAAACTGGGTGGATTAAAATTAAACGTTTATTGTTTCAAAGTTCTGGAGGCTAGAAGTCTGAAATCAAGATGTCAGCAGGACCATGCTCTCATAGTTTCAGTTCTGGAATTTCCAGTTTTTTCAAATCACTTTTGTTTTTAATTTCTTCTTATTTATTCCCTCATTGTGTTTATTTTCCTTTTAAACTTTGACCTTGCTTTAAATCTTCATTTGCTCATTCACCATCTCTGATTTTTCTAGGTATTTTTTTACTGATTGATATTTTTCCTCATTATAAGCTAAATTTTCCTGTTTCTTCACATCTAGAAATTTTTTATTGGATGCTAGATATTAGCTGATATTTCTTAAGTATCTAAATTCTGTTGTCTCCTTTATAGAGTATTGGGCTTTGTACTGGAAGGCAAGCAATTTACTTGAAAATTAGCTTAATCTTTCCAAGTCTTCTTTATAAGATTTGGCAAAGTCTAAAGTGGCTTTTTTCCTCCTAGTGCTAGATTAGACATATTCCTAAATTGTGGCTTTTAACAGGTCTCTACTATATGCTCTAGGTATTCAATAAGTTCTCTCTACTCAGAGAGTACTGATCAGTACTCAAACACCTCCCATCCCTGTGCCATCCTTGGAGGATGCACGTCACAGCACTCTGGTAGTTGTTCTTTCTCTGGTAGTAATTCCCTTTGGCCTTATAAAGTTTAACTCTGTTAATGAATAGCCTCGTATTTATTCCATATTCAAGGGATCTGCTATGCAGATTTCTGGATCTTCTCTACATAGCTTTGTTCTCTACATTAGCCTTCCAGGCAAATTCCCGCCACCTCCGGATCCCTGAATGCTGGTCCTGTCTCTTCACTTCATTGAGATTACTATGCTCTGCTTGGTTTACCCATCCCAGCACCACCATGTAGAAAGCCTGTCCATCCAGAAATTCAAGGCGTTTATGGACCTCATTTCATTTGTTTCCATTTTCTCAGGGGCCACATTCTCTCAGTCCTGACAGGTCTATTGAATAGTGTCTAAAAATAACTAATTACATGTTCATTTTTTTT